GATAGAATGAATCAAAAAGATGCATATGAAAGCTGAATGTTTGGGGAATCCAGCAAGTTTTATTGTGGTTTTATCCTTATAGTTGTAATACGCGTTCAAAAATGAATGAATTCTTTATGTTCCATTTGGTTATATAATGACTGTATTTTAGGAATGTTATCCAGCGCTATGATCTGGGGATTCCTCTCTGACACCTACGGAAGAAAACGTCTTCTGGTCATAGGTTATTTGCTGGATGCGTTCTTCGCCCTTATAGCCGGATTGACGCAAACCTTCCCGATGCTCCTCTTCGCCAAATTCATGGGAGGCTTCATGTACGTATTTACAAGAAAACCGAGTAACAAATCATCAATGAAAATATGAATTTTCTTCCATCAGAATCAACGGTCCTTTCGCCGTCCTAACAACCATCCTCTCCGAATTCCACTGCGCCAGATACAGGGCGCGAGTCGTCCTCTTCATGGGCATCATCTTCAGCACGGCCAACGTCCTGTTGCCTCTCATCTCTTGGGCTCTGCTTCCAAATCCGATAGAATTGAAGTTCTTCGATGGAGCTTTCGGTAAATGCAATATTCACACAAAGCAAAAAAAAACAACTAATTTGTAAACTGTATTAAGTGATGCACACGTGGAATTTCTACCTGCTGCTCGGCGGATTACCTAGTTTGATTAGTGGAATTTGTCACATGTTCCTGCCGGAAAGTCCTAAATTCCTGATGACCGCCGGAAGGAACGAAGAAGCCATGGCCGTTTTCCAGAAGGTCTACAGCATGAACACGGGAAATCCACCGGAGACTTATCCGGTAACTTTACAATACGTTTGAAACATCTTTTCAGTTTTATGATTTATTTAGGTGAAAGCTTTGATCGAGGAAACTGCGAACGGCGTGGAAACGAATCGATTGCAAGCGTTCAAGAACGGTTTCACGCATATGAAGCCGTTGTTCTTGAAGCCGCATCTTCCGCGGATCATTTTAGTGTGCGCGATCCAATTCGGAACGATGCTGGGGTGAGAACAGCTCTGATAAACTAACAACAATCGATGCAAATTTTTGTATTATTTTATTAACAGCTTGAACACTCTTCGTCTTTGGCTTCCGCAACTATTCACAGCTATGGCCGATTACGAAACTCTTCATCCGTCCCAAGAAGCGAGCATTTGCGAAATGCTGGACATGGTTAAACCCAATGTAACTGAAACGGGAATGGGCGAATGCTTTGTTGTGAGTTTGTAAAATTTATGAAATTTATTGAAAATTATTGTTTATTTTTTTTTTGGTAGAACTATAATATGGATTCGGTTTATATTAACGCGATTATAGTTGCAAGCGTATCAATCTTGGGGTATTCCTTCGTCGGTAATCTTCTTACGGTTTTGGGAAAGAAGCGAGTTTTAAGTGAGTTTTTCAATCTAACTAAAACCATGAATTTAACTTTATTGTCTTTTTAGTTATGCTTGGCTTCATTTGCGGTGTACTTGGAATTTCCATCTACTTCGCGCAAAACTCGCCGGCGATGATCTCCATGTCTAGCATAATGATAGCCTTGGCCGGAATCAACACCAACGTTATTCTCACTGTTATAGTGGACTTATTCCCGACCAGTCTCAGGTACTTTTACCAATTTGTGTATCTCTTTAACTTAATAATGTGTTTTCTTGTGTTAATTTTCTTGTTAGGACGATGGCCGTGGCTCTGAGCATGATGACCGGAAGATTGGGAGCGATGGTCGGAAACGCGATCTTTCCACATCTGATTTCCGTCGGTTGTTTACCGCCTTTCCTCTTCATCGGCCTCGGCACTTTGTCTTCGGCCGTTTTGGGTTTCCTTCTACCGAAAACGGACATGAAACCTTTAGAATAAGAGATTAATAATTTATTGACTAAAACTCTGTGACACGTAGATTTTAAAAACACAAAATAAATGAGAGAAAAAAAATAAGAGAAATTTGTTTGTTCGTTAATATGTAGATTGTTTTTTTAAATATTTCTATCAACACTAATAGTATTAACACTAATAGCTTATGTGATAAAGATTTGCGTCAAGAACAACAAAAAAATTGTATATATATAGATAATGTAACACTTTTTTTTTTTGATAATTTCAAGGTAAATATTTATGAACTTTTCGAATCTTTTCAGTACTTTTTCTTTGTTGTTGCATTCAATATTAAAACGCAAATAATTAATATGTTAGGGTATGGAAGGTTTAAAAACACTGGTTTAAATGTTTAAGTTCATTTAAACTTAGTTTTTAAAAAACAATCGATTCCAATGAGATAAAAGCATAAGTGTGCTTAAGTGTAAAACTTTAGAATAAGAGATTAATTTATTGACTAAAACTCTGTGACACGTTGATTTTAAAACCAAAATAAATGAGAAAAAAAAAATAGAAATTTGTTTGTTTGTTTGTTAATATGTAGATTGTTTTTAAATGTTTCTATCAACACTAATATTATGAGCTCATGTACAAAACAGTATTCATATGTGATAAAGATTTGCGTCAAGAACAACAAAAAATCGTGTATGTAGATAATATAACACTTTTTTTTTTTTGATAATTTCAAGGTAAATATTTACGAACGTTTCGAATCTTTTACTTTCTTTTTTTTTTGTTGCAGTCAATATTAAAATAGAAATAATTAATATATTTTGTGCCTTAGGTCATGGAAGGTTGAGAAACTCTGGTTTAAATGAAGAATATATTCAAGTTTAAGTTAATTTAAACTTAACTTTTAAAAGACAATTTATTAATGAAATAAAAGCATAAGTGTGCTTAAGTGTAAAACGGGAGATTAACTATTGGCTCAAGCGTGTTTTAAGATATGGAAGGTTGAAAAACACTGGTTTAAATGAAGAATATATTGAAGTTTGAGTTCATTTAAACTTAACTTTTAAAATACAATTGATTCCAATGAAATACAAGCTTAAGTGTGCTTAAGTGTAAAACGGAAGTTTAACTATTGGATTAAGTGTGCATTGAAACGTGGAATGTTGAAAAACACTGCTTTAAATGATTAATATATGTTTATAAATCCATTTAAACTTAACTTTTCGTTTAAAAGATACTTAATTCAATTATTTTGCAATAAAATATAAGCATAAGTGTGCTTAAGTCCAAAACGGAAGTTTAACTATTGGTTCAAGCGTGTCTTGAGATATGGAAGGTTGAAAAACACTGGTTTAAATGAAGAATAATATTAAAGTTTAAGTTCATTCAAACTTAGTTTTTAAAAGACATTTGGTTTTGCCTTAGGTCATGGAAGGTTGAAAAACTCTGCTTTAAATGAAGAATATATTCAATTTTAAGTTCATCTAAACTTATCTTTTAAAAGATAAATCATTTACTTATTTTCCAATGATATAAGAGCATAAGTGTGCTTAAGTGTAAAACTGAAGTTTAGCTATCGGTTCAAGTGTGCCTTGAGATATGGAAGGTTGAAAAACACTGGTTTAAATGAAGAATAATATTCAAGTTTGAGTTCATTTAAACTTGGCTTTTAAATGACAATTGACTCCAATAAAATACAAGCTTAAGTGTGCTTAAGTGTAGAACAGAAGTTTAACTATTGGATTAAGTGTGCATTGAAACGTGGAATGTTGAAAAACACTGCTTTAAATGATTAATATATGTTTATAAATTCATTTAAACTTAGCTTTTCGTTTAAAAGATACTTAATTCAATTATTTTGCAATAAAATATAAGCATAAGTGTGCTTAAGTCTAAAACGGAAGTTTAACTATTGCTTCAAGCGTGTCTTGAGATATGGAAGGTTGAAAAACACTGGTTTAAATGAAGAATAATATTCAAGTTTAAGTTCATTTAAAGTTGGCTTTTAAAAGACAAATGATTCCAATGAGATAAAATCATAAGTGTGCTTAAGTCTAAAACAGAAGTTTAACTATTGATTCAAGCGTGCCTTGAGCTGTGGAAGGTTGAAAAACTTTGCTTTAAATGAAGAATATATTGAAGTTTAAGTTCATTCAAACTTAGTTTTTCAAAGATAATAGGTTAATGAAATAAAAGAATAAGTGTGCTTAAGTGTAGAGCAGAAGTTTAACTATTGGTTCAAGTGTGCCTTAGGTCATGGAAGGTTGAAAAACTCTGCTTCAAATGAAGAATATATTCAATTTTAAGTTCATCTAAACTTATCTCTTAAAAGATAATTCATTTACTTATTTTCCAATGATGCAAGAGCATAAGTGTGCTTAAGTGTAAAACTGAAGTTTAGCTATTGGTTCAAGTGTGCCTTAGGTCATGGAAGGTTGAAAAACTCTCCTTTAAATGAAGAATATATTCAATTTTAAGTTCATCTAAACTTATCTTTTGAAAGATAATTCATTTACTTATTTTCCAATGTTACAAGAGCATAAGTATGCTTAAGTGTAAAACTGAAGTTTAGCTATTGGTTCAAGTGTGCCTTAGGTCATGGAAGGTTGAAAAACTCTGCTTCAAATGAAGAATAATATTCAAGTTTAAGTTCATCTAAACTTATCTTTTAAAAGATAATTCATTTACTTATTTTCCAATGATATACGAGCATAAGTGTGCTTAAGTGTAAAACTGAAGTTTAGCTATTGGTTCAAGTGTGCCTTGAAATATGGGAGGTTGAGAAACTCTGCTTTAAATGAAGAATAATATTAAAGTTTAAGTTCATTCAAACTTAGTTTTTAAAAGACATTTGGTTTTGCCTTAGGTCATGGAAGGTTGAAAAACTCTGCTTTAAATGAAGAATATATTCAAGTTTAAGTTAATTTAAACTTAACTTTTAAAAGACAATTAATTAATGAAATAAAAGGATAAGTGTGCTTAAGTGTAAAACGGGAGATTAACTATTGGCTCAAGCGTGTTTTAAGATATAGAAGGTTGAAAAACACTGGTTTAAATGAAGAATATATTGAAGTTTGAGTTCATTTAAACTTAACTATTAAAAGACAATTGATTCCAATGAAATACAAGCTTAAGTGTGCTTAAGTGTAAAACGGAAGTTTAACTACTGGATTAAGTGTGCATTGAAACGTGGAATGTTGAAAAACACTGCTTTAAATGATTAATATATATTTATAAATTCATTTAAACTTAGCTTTTCGTTTAAAAGATACTTAATTCAATTATTTTGCAATAAAATATAAGCATAAGTGTGCTTAAGTCCAAAACGGAAGTTTAACTATTGGTTCAAGCGTGTCTTGAGATATGGAAGGTTGAAAAACACTGGTTTAAATGAAGAATAATATTAAAGTTTAAGTTTATTCAAACTTAGTTTTTAAAAGACATTTGGTTAATGAAATAGAAGCATAAGTGTGCTTAACTGTAAAACGGGAGATAAACTATCGGTTCAAGCATGCCTTGAGATATGGGAGGTTGAAAAACTCTGCTTGAAATGAAGAATATATTCAATTTTAAGTTCATCTAAACTTATCTCTTAAAAGATAATTCATTTACTTATTTTCCAATGATGCAAGAGCATAAGTGTGCTTAAGTGTAAAGCAGAAGTTTAGCTATTGGTTCAAGCGTGCCTTGAGATATGGGAGGTTGAGAAACTCTGCTTTAAATGAAGAATATACTGAAGTTTAAGTTCATTCAAACTTGGCTTTTAAAAAACAAATGATTCCAATGAGATAAAAGCATAAATGTGCTTAAGTGTAGAACAGAAGTTTAACTATTGGATTAAGTGTGCATTGAAACGTGGAATGTTGAAAAACACTGCTTTAAATGATTAATATATGTTTATAAATTAATTTAAACTTAGCTTTTTGTTTAAAAGACACTTAATTCAATTATTTTGCAATATAAGTGTGCTTAAGTCTAAAACGGAAGTTTAACTATTGGTTCAAGTGTGCCTTAGGTCATGGAAGGTTGAAAAACTCTGCTTTAAATGAAGAATAATATTAAAGTTTAAGTTCATTCAAACTTAGTTTTTAAAAGATAATTGGTTAATGAAATAAAAGCATAAGTGTGCTTAAGTGTAGAGCAGAAGTTTAACTATTGGTTCAAGTGTGCCTTGAGATATGGGAGGTTGAGAAACTCTGCTTTAAATGAAGAATATATTCAATTTTAAGTTCATTTAAATTTGGCTTTTAAAAGACAAATGATTCCAATGAGATAAAAGCATAAGTGTGCTTAAGTCTAAAACAGAAGATTAACTATCGGTTCAAGTGTGCCTTGAGCTGTGGAAGGTGGAAAAACTCTGCTTTAAATGAAGAATAATATTAAAGTTTAAGTTCATTCAAACTTAGTTTTTAAAAGATAATTGGTTAATGAAATAAAAGCATAAGTGTGCTTAAGTGTGAAACTGAAATTTAGCTATTGGTTCAAGTGTGCTTTGAGATATGTGTGGTTGAAAAACACTGCTTTAAAAGATGAATATATTCTAGAAGTCTTCATCCACGAACGATCTTCGAATCTATATAGTATTGTTGTTGATTGAAGGTATGATGAAGTCACGATGATGAAAGTATGAAGAGGTGATTGAAACGAGATGAGTTCACTCAAAAAAAAAAAACCGTGACATTAGAAATGTCAAAGTCAGCAGGTTCGTAAATGGCCGATTTCGAGGAGGCCATCGAGGCCACGAAATTCGGCACCTTCAACATCCTCATCATCCTTCTCGGTCTTCCGTCCGGCTGGGTGACGATCTTCGAGACGACGGACATCTCCTTCGTGAATCCGGTGGCGCACTGCGACCTGAACTACGGCATCGACGAGGGCGGTTTCATCTTCTCCGTGACGTATCTGGGTGAGAATCTGGGTAAATTGTATGTAAATAACTATGATTCGTTCAATGTTGAAGGTATGCTGACCGGTAGTCCCGTGTGGGGTTTCTTCTCGGACACTTTCGGGCGAAGAAAGGTGATCATATTCTGTTACACAATGCACGCTTTCGTTGTCAGCATCACGGGACAATCGCAGACTTATATAATGCTTCTGGTGTTGAAATTCATCGGCGGTTTCATGTACGTATTTTCGTTTGGGAAGATTTTCAAAAGACAATTCACGTGATTAATGTTTTTAGTGTTAATGGACCGTTTTCCATTTTAACGACGATCTTCTCAGAGTTCCACAGCGCCAAGTACAGGGCCCGAGTGATGCTGATGATCGGTGTGATCGCCGCTTCAGCAAACATCATTTTACCCGTAGTCGCTTGGGGTATCCTCCTCTTGCAAGTCAACATCAACATAGGAGATTACCGTAAATACTAATCACGTAATCTGAACGCGTGTTTTAATCTCAAATTTGCAGACTTTCATTCGTGGAATATCCTGTTGCATCTGTGCGCCATCCCGAGCATCGCCTGCGCCATCGCCTACATCTTCGTCCCGGAAAGTCCCAAATATTTGATGGCCTCTGGAAGAAACGATGAGGCTCTTTTGGTCTTCAAGAAGATGTACAGGTTGAACACGGGCAAACCGGAGAACACTTATCCGGTGCAATTTTACCATACATTTCGCGACAATCTTTCATTACTAATTGGTAAATCGTAGGTCAGAGATTTGGTCGAAGAAGTGCTCATCGGAATGGACGACGAAGACGATGCCAACACGCAGGACATGTCCAAAGCGAAGATGGCGTATCGAAAGATGGCCAAAGGCTTCAAGCAATCTTCGAAACTGTTCTTTCCGCCGCATCTCAAGTGCTTCCTGATTATTTGCGTCATGCAGCTCGGCGTGATGATGGGGTTCGTCATACGCTTCAAATCCGCGTCCAAGCGATTGCATCTTCTGCTCGCAGATTGAACACCTTCCGGCTTTGGATTCCCGAGATCTTCACCGGCATCGCGCTGTATCGCAAGAACAACAACGGTTCCTCTTCGAGAATCTGCGACATGCTTCCACCGAAGAATTTCACCAAAGGCGACGACTTCTGCAAAGCGGCAAGTACACACACACACACTCATACTTATTATGAATTAGTCGACGAAAGCAATAGTTAATAATCACGTCACGATTTGCATGAAAATCATAATAATCAATTTTAATTTAATTAGTTAAAAAAAAAGCAATAGTTTTCTTGTATAACGCGGTAGAATAATAATATGATTTGTTAAATACTTGTAGCAGCAGCAGCAGAAGTTACGTTTCTTCAAAAGAACAATGGACGTAATTGTCTATAATTTAGTTTTGGAGCGGATAGGAAATTCCCAAAGATTTTCGATGTGCTCATTTTCTTTCACGTTCAAAGATTTCATTCCAAACTTTCTGGCTACATTAAGACTTCTAATTTCAATTCATCAACTTTGAACGCGTATTACAGCAATATGGATAATAGCACAGGAATGTATCTATACTTGCTGGATTCCCCAAACATTC